ACTTATTTTAGCAATTTCAATTTGTACAGATGTCAAAAGAAAGTATAATTCTTACTTGAAAATACTTAAAATACTTTAGAAAATGAGATTATGCATATATTTGAAGCATTGTTCTAGTTAAAGCTTAATGTATTATAAATTTAGGAGTTTAAAATTAAAATGTTTTAAAGAAGAAATTGAGCATTTGAAATTGCTCTTTGACATTGTGATATTGTGAATAAATCTCATTCAAATAAAGTTTGAGTTTATTGAGTCAGGTATTTTAAGTTTAAATAGCTGAACTTCTATAGTTATTAGTGAGATATTCTATTTATACATCTTAACATATTTTAGCATCTTTATGTTTTCAAGACTGTTAAGAAGGCTGTTTCCTTGGGAAAATTTCAGAGAAATTTTTGTTACAGCTTCCACATTTAACATTTTTTCCTTTGGCTTTGAAGTACTTTAAAATTCATGAGATTTCCATTGATTTTAGTTTTTAAACTTCTAGAAAACCACTTTTTGAAAAACCACTTTTCAAACAATTGATTGTGATAAGTGAATCATTGGTAATGAGTATACTATTAAATAATAGTGGTAACAAAGTAGAGGAATAATACACTTAGTCCTTGCTGCCCTGAAATACTTATATATCTAATGGCATGTAATTTGCTTATAAGGAATAGTAATTTATTCCTTAGGAAGTAATACTATTTAGAAAAAATGGCAAAAATGCTTCATAATAAGTCAAATTTGAATTTTCAAGAAACCCTAATTTTTAGTTGTGCTAACTTAACTTTTTCTAGGTGCTTTATAGGTATTTTACTATTGTAAGTGTACTTTAGATGCCTCTTTGGAAGTTGATAATGCGGTATATCTAATGTAAATTTTTAATTAATCATTATTTAATTAGCCACTTTGTGAATTATCCAGGCCATTTTACATCTATTACGGTTTTCCTGTTTTCACTTATTTCCACAATTCTATCAAAAAATTAAAAGGAATCAAAGGAAATAGAAATAGAAGCCAAAGTTTCTATCCTTTGTCTGTGTATTAAGCAGTCTGTGTATTAAGTAAGTTTATTTAGAAATTGAAACGTTTTTGAATCTCTGTTATTTTTTACTTTAACATTGCCGAATGGCTATATTATAGTTACTTCACATGTGAGAAGAATGTAATTAGCAAGGTGTTGAAATGAAGAAATGTGTGGGGGAAAAAAAAAGTGAGCTCTGTGATAAGGAAGATAGGTGGGAGTCCAGTTCTTGGGGCTGTCCCCTTCCAGACCAGGATAATGGCACGACATTATTCTCTTAAAAACTTGTTTTGCTTGCATGGTGTGAGTTGGTGGTCTTGGTCCCTTTAATTAAGAATCCATGATAAAATTAGATTTCTTGTTGATCATCTTATGCTGCGGGTCTGAGGATTCATTGGTAGAGAACCACTAACCTGTCCTTTCACCCCCAGGGTGTGAACACTGAAAAGGATTAAGGCCCACTGTAGGGAAGCTAGCACTGAAGCCTGCACTGCCCTTTCCCCTGTTCTTTTCAGTTAAATAGAAGATTTTTAGTTCCCATGACTATCAGTCTGGTGCTTTTCACAAGGACCAAATTCTTTTAAGAAAATTAAGATGATTTATTTTTAGAAATCCACTGGCCTAGAATACTGAAAGATGATTTTTTTGGTATTTTGTGTTGACAGGCCCTGTATGTACTATTTTCTTTCTGATGCATATTAGTTTACTTTAATTTATATTGAATTTGATGATTGATACAAACTTTTAAAAATCAAGAACAGATTTTTGTATGGTTAGATTTGCTTGACTAGTAGTAATTAATAGAGTTTGGAAGTGTTGAATCTTAAATTTCTTTAGAGATAGCTGTCTTACAACCCTGTGGACCTAAACTCTTCACTGTTATTTCTAGATGACTGCAGTTATAAGATGCTTTCTTTTCATGTTGAAAGGCTTTTAAATAGCTTTTATAAATGCTGAGGTGTCATATATTTTTTTCAGTATTTGCTAAATTGGCATTGTATTTAAGCTTAAAAATATATTTTGGGGTTTTTTTTTTAGCTAAAATAATTGCAGAGTATTAAACATTCTTGGTAGTTAAAGCTTTTTTTTCTTCCATTTAATTTGAGCTTTTGTTGTTACTAACAAATAATTTGTGGCACAGTCTTTCTTTCTTTCTTTCTCTTTCCTTTTTTAAATGACTGCTAGAATCTATATACTTGTCACCTTAGTGTCCTAGAAATGTTCCACTTAGATCAAGGGTTCCTTTCTGGTTTTGTATGTTCTCACCTGCTCCTCACTGTAAATCATTGAGATGTCAAGTGCAATGATTAATTAAGCTGCACGTGCAAGTGCTTTTTTTTCACCTGTCAAGCAGGAAAGAAGTCTTATCGCAAGATTAGATGCTGCTAATTCACAGCTTTTTCTCCAGACTGTCAAGTATGTAGAAATATTTTATAGTTAGATGCTTATTCAGAATATTGCATATCAGGGTTCGTTTTGTTTTGAGTTCTTAAATATTGTAAGATACAATTATTGTATCAAACCCTATCATTAAACTCCTAATTAGAGGCAAAGAGCAAATTCAAAATTCCTACATAAACATTTTGGAATTTTAGGTTTATACTTCGTAATTACCTTTTATCCAAAAACTGCTAGTTGACTTAAGTTATTTAAAGTAACTATCTTCCAGTTCTAAATTGATTTTGTATGTATCCTATACACCATGAGATCCATTCCTAATGAGATCCATTCTTATTATAATATAGCCTAGATTTAAATTTGTGAAATATGATGATGATTAACTACATTTTTTTCTTTGAGTAATGAATATTTACTGAATGTAATGTTAAGCTTTTACTTTTTTACATCGATACAAAACCTTGGACTTGGATGGCTTTTTCTCCCCACCCTAGTTATTTCATCCTCCACCCCCCTTTTTAAACATCAGTAAAAGTAAAACCTCAAATTGTATAGTAATCTTAATCTATTATTAAAAAGTCCTAGAAAGGAAGATTACAAGGTAGATTCAGGTTTTGAATCGGTTTTGCCATTGGTTTAGCAGCGGGTGGGCAGGCAGATGCCTGCTCAGAGTAGAACCTATTGCCATTTTTCACCATTGATAGAGTAGCCTTTCAGAGTCAATGAGCTCTGTCAATGTGAGCTTGTCAAGGCTACAACTTCATAGACCTGAGAGGCGGTTTGAGAGGTCAGCCCTTTTCAGGTTCGCTGTGATGCAAATGAACTTTAATGCTTAAACAACTATTGGAATTTTTATGTCTGCTCCTTGTTCTTTTTTCTTCACAAAGTCATTGACGAGACATTCAGTGCTTTTTAAATTGGAAGTTGCATTGTGCTAAAGACCTAGTACAGATTTACGGAGGGCTGAAAGCAGTTAGATCATGTTCTTTTCATGGTGCGATTAGAATCAAATCGATTTCCCTACAGCCTTCAGCATTCAGATGGCAATTTTAACAAAGCTTGGGGGCTAGACAAGGGACAAAACGACTGAACTGAATGTTAATTACACTCTGCAGCCTTATTTTCTTTTGATTTGGGGCTGACTGGCAACTAAATTAACAAAAAGTGTGACCATAACTGCTGCCCTATTTTCATTTAAAAGGAGAGCTGCCTCTAAAAGGCTATCTTTACAAAGAAACAAGTGAGGTCTGCTGATCATTGTTAACAAGGGCACTTTTTCTCCCTTAAAATTCTTGCCAAAAAAAAAACTGTTCAAAAAAAGTAATGTAATAAATTAGTCATTGGCGTGTTATTGCTCAGAGTTAGGTGATTTTCTGATTTTTATGACACAAGCTTGGAAAATGGTAATAGTGGGTAATTCATTGGTAGTTATGAATTATAATTGGCACCTCTATGACTAGTGTATCTTTTGTACGTACTACATGCTAAAAGGTAATACAGTAACTTAGATGACAGTAGATACTTTAAAGAAATATTAACCATTTGTTATGTAACATTAAACTATTCAAAACCAGCTTGATCCTAACAATTTTTTACCTCTCTCATCCTTGCTTGACATGCAGATTTTCATATTTGACTGTTAGTACTCAGTTGTACACGTTAATAGCACTAGATGCTTTTCTCCTTCCCTTGCAAGGAAGCTGCAGCTGCGCCAAGTTGCAGTTGCTTCTTGCGGCAACACTGTCCCTTTTGCACCTGCAGCTGTGTCCGTCTCATCCTAACACCTGGCATCATGAATTATCCTCTCCTTTATTCATACTTCCAGGCAAGACACATTTCCTGCTGCACAGTAGATATTGCAGAAATCAAGTGAACTTACATTTCTCAGTTGATTCCTTTAACAGTAGTATTGACTTAGGCGTTTGATTTTAGTATTTGATTTTAGTATCATTTTTGTGGTTTATATATATTTTGTCTCTGAAAATCTTTATCCTTGGAATAATTAATAAACAGACTTTTAAATGTGATGCGCAAATTTGTTTTGTTTTGATTTGTTTTGATAGCTAATGGATTTTTTAAAATTTGTGAATGTTTAATTATTTTCTTTTTGATTTTACCCTGAAGTCATTTGCATTTTGTTAACTAATATTTAAATAACTTGTTTTAAAATATGAGTGAAGGAACTTTTATCACTAAGTACTACAGAAATATTTTTGAAAGAAATGGGCATTAAAATCTATATCATTTGGTAGATGATGTTAACTTTTTATTTTTTCATTCTTATTTTTATTTATATTTTTGATATTAGCTTTTTAAAAGACTTTAATAGTTTCGTATCAGAGGCTAGTAAATTTGAAACAGTTAAAAAAAGATACAGTGTTGAAGAATAAAACCATATCTTTATTATAATAGGAGTACCATTTCTGTTCAGGGTATTACTTAGTACAAAAATGCTGAAAGTGTTACAGACCACCATGTACTCACTCAGTCACTGTCTTCTACCTCTCTCCCTTTCACACAAAAAACAGCTGCAAAACAAAGTTTTTCTAAAACCAGTCAAGAGTAAACTTTTTTCTCATTTGTCTTCCAGACACGAAGATCGATTGAGAAGTTATTAGAATGGGAAAACAATAGGTTATACCACAAGGTGAGTACCACAGGGAGCAGCTTCGTACTGTTGGGGTCTGAATTGCACAGTATGGAAACAGATGCTTTTGTTGAACTAAAAATATGAAAGGTGGACAAATGGGTTAGTCTGTGTGCTGCAATAAAATAGAGCTCATTTTTCTTCTTTTACTCTCCTACTTGTCTAGCTGTGCTTGCACTGGAGACTGAGCAAAAGGAAATGTGAAACGAATAACATGATGGAATATGTAAGTTAAAGGGCTGTTTTGTGAGTTTCTCTATTAAATGATCATTTATTTTGCTTCTGATCTTATTCTTTCCATGATTATTAATCAGCAAAGGTGTCAGGAGCTTAATCTCCTGAGCGCAGGGATTTTCTACGGTTCACAGATGCATGGTTTCATGTGCAAGACTGATTTATAAAGTTATGAATGACTTGAAAACAAGGCTTCACTGTGTTCTGAAAAATAATAAATTAATTGCCAAGATAAAATAGCCTGAACGTGTGTTGATGGAGTGTGAAATTTTAGATGCTGTATAAAGAATAACCACAACTTTGGTTACGCAGCAAGTCAGATATGGCTTTTTTATATAATGCTAATCAAGTTTCCAAGTATGGAAGAAAACCTTTCAGCCAAGCCGTTGGAGCTTAAGAAACCTTTAGCCTTTATAGATTTTAACTGCCCATACCTCAGTGGCCTTTAAAGAATCTTTTGAAATGTTATTAGAATATTGTTTTGTAAAAATTATCTTTAAAGCAGGAGATGAGATGTTGCTCATTCTGTATTCTTTAAAAGAGACCTAATTGGCACATGTGTACAATGAATTTTAGAGTTTATTCAGTATGGGATATAATTTACTGACTCCTTGATTTACTTGAACAATTCTTCTCCTTTTGAAAAGTTCAGAATACTGTAGAAAATCATGATTTTTTGTTTATTCTCCCCTGAATTTGGGTGTTTTATTTTAAATATGGAAAGGTTACTTTATTAAGATCTGTAGAAGACTTATTTGTTGAAAAAGAAAGTCATAGTCTTTGTGAAGTAACCAGGCACATTTCTGGCAGATTTTGTCTATTATCTAAAACAATATAGGCATCGTAGATAGTATATGTATGTGTGTGCATGTGTGTGAGAGCTTGTGTGACCAAGACATTGATTAAAACAGTGCTTAAATAGTTGAAAATTATCATAAAGTCATTTTTCTCTGTAGCATTTTTCCTTTCTTTCATTATCATACAGTCAAATCCCATTTCTAGCCTTGAACATAAAAGACATCTTAAAAATGTCTTTTTTCATAGAATAGCTCTATTCAGTGAATCAAAGAATGTAGATTTTATCATTATCTATTATATCAAACATGTTAATTTATGATGATGAGAAAGATACTTGATACTTTTTTTTATTAAAAAGCATATTCAAAGAACTTATTTTGAGATTGACCTATGAAAATGCTAGTCTTGTGCTTTCATCATAGATGAAAGAATATATAAAATATATTCTTATAAAATATATAGAGTTTATATATTTTGGGGGGAGGGATGATTTAAAGGATTTTGGGAAAAGATACTTGCTATATTTATGAACCAAAATACTAATACATTTCTAAATTTACTTTTGGAAGGAAAACAAGAAAGTCATTTCCAGTGCTGTTATTGCCAGATAGAATTTTAAGAATGTTATTCATTCATAAAATGCACTCAAATATTCATGTTTATTTTTATGATATTCTTTTATTAACTAAAAATAATTTAACCATTCAGAACATTCTGAACTTTGTACTTTGTTTGTAAAATAGTTTAATTTATTATGAATTTTTAGATAAACACTTTTCCTAAAGCCATATTATTTCACATACCATTATGGGAGGTATCCAAAAGAATTGTCAAAAGGAAAAATATAGGGGTGCCTAGCTGGCTCAGTCCATGGAGCATGTGACTATTGATCCTGGGGTTGTGGGTTCAAGCCCCACTTTGGAGATAAAAATTACTTTAAAATACAAATTTTTTTTTAAGAAAAAATATATAAAAATTGCTAGAAAAATGTATTTTTTCTAAATTTCCTCAGAGTATGTATATTTGTGATAGTTGCATGGGAGAATAACATAATTTCAAAAACTCCCTAAGAAATAATTTTCAGAAGTTAAGATAGCAAAATAGTAGGAAGAAGAGTGCTCCATTTTTCTAATGAATTGGGGCCTTTTTTACCACACCTCTCTTTGACCTCATCTTGTCTTTGACTTACAGAAATTTCATTTGTTAGTTGAATTATTCTCCTGATTATACTTTCGATATTGGGGACAATTTAGAAAAAATACCAATTTGATACCAACTTTTCTTTTATTCAGATACAGTAAGATAGTGTGATTTAGAAGAAATAAGACAAGTGGCCAGTTTCCTTCTGAAGGAAAAGAAGTTGTAGGATATAGTCTTTAAAAACTAATGATAATTCAAATATAGTCAAGGTAGCCTTTATTTTGCATTAGGTAGTAAACACTGTAAAATGTAATGCATACACCTAAGACCTTAATTTTTTTTTTTTTTATTTATTTGAGAGAGACAGTGAGAGAGAGCATGAGCAAGGAGAAGGTCAGAGGGCGAAGCAGACTCCCCATGGAGCTGGGAGCCCGATGTGGGACTCGATCCCACTCCGGGATCATGACCTGAGCCGAAGGCAGTTGTCCAACCAACTAAGCCACCCAGGCATCCCTAAGACCTGAAATTTATAAAAACTATCTAATGAGGACAAATTTGAAATATGGAAGTGTTTATTGAATGTTGACTCATGAGTAGTTTCAACATCAAATCAGTTAGTTTAATCATCAGATTTTAGAGCTGCAGTGAATTTTGTCATCTTTTCGAATCCCTTTATTTATTATATGAGGTAACTGAGAAACGGGGGAATCCAGCTCAAATAAAAAACTGTTAGGAAGTTAGGGAACATTATGTCAGCAAATACCAGGTCAGAAGAGTGGCAGAGGGTGCCGCTGAAGACTTAGTACAGGATTATAACTAAAGTAGGAGAGGAATATTTTTGAGTTGTGTGTAGAAAAGCTTGCTTTATTGAGGCAGATCAAAAGTCAGGAGAATTGAAGAGTGAAAATGCAAGTTTCTGGCCCAGTTGCCTAAATGTGGAAGAGTGTCCAAGCCTGGAGGTTATATCAGGGCAAGTTTCTGAAAGAAAAATGAGGAGTTCACCCAACTTGGAAGCTTTTCAAATAATATTTTGTTTAGCATCAGTTTCATACAGAGCCTGGAACAAGGGAAATAATTGATTGTCATTTAAGACGACTCAAGTTTGGAATAAAAATTAGCTCTGGTCAACTTGTGTTTTTCTGTGTTAATGAATTTTGTTTATATTGGTTTTCCTTTAGTTTCATAGTAAAAGGTCCTTTGGTACAAATTTAAGCTTCAATATTGCTGACTTAAGACGAAAAGAGCTTTTTAAAAAAATTAAAGAGATAAAGAACCCATTATCAAGAGATTATGTATCATGGTAGGGTAACGTGAGAGCAGATCTAGAACCCAAAGACCCATGGAATTGGGTGAGATAAAAAGGAGGAAGGCAGAAGAAGTAAACGGGTTGATTGTAACCACAAGTGCAGTAGAAAGGGCAAAGTTTTGGAGTTAAGGTAGTCCTTTGTTCAAGTACTGACTCCACAGTGCTGTGGTGTTATAATTACTTGGATAATGAGTGTCTTGATCTGTAAAATGAGGGTTATAATACTTGCCTCATGGAGAAGTTGTTAGGGTTAAATAGATCCACAATGTATGAGACACTTGGCATGTAGTCATTTCTCGAGAAACGCTAGCTCTGACTCCCTTCATCATTCATCCCTGCATGCATTCTCCTTCAGGGGCACTGTCAAATTGCTATAAGTGATGGAATAGAACTGAAATATTTTTTAAGATAAAAATTTATTTAAATCTTTTTAAAACTTTTTTTTTTCCTCCTTCTGCAGGTCATCCTCATAGAATTTTTACCAAAGACACCGATTTTTCGACCAGATTAGCATTTATTTTATTTACAGAGACTTTCCAAGTATGTTGTCTTTCCAATGGTGCCTTGCTTGGTGCTCTCCTGGTGGTGACATAACATTGGTTCTACAGAATCGTGTGGTGTTTTTTTCTGTTTTTTTTTTTGGTTTTGTTTTTTTTTTAAATAACCGCATGTTCTAAGTGTGCATTTTTGTCAAACTTTGCAAGTTATTTCATACAAATGTTTAATACTTAAGTTATTGTGCTCTTTTCTGTTATGTATTCTGATTTTCAAGGATTACTTTTTTGTATTATCGAAAAAATACATTTGAAATTAGCATAAAAAGTGGCCAGCCTTTTTTATTTTATCACCAAGGTACACACAGTCTTTTATTTATTAATGCCATAATATAGAAGAACACTTTTGTAAGGCTCTACTTATCTATTCTAGCAAGCACACTCTTTGTATTATTTTTCTTCCTTTTAAAATTTAAAATAGTTATTATTTTAAAATAGTAAGTTTTCTTTACTAGCTTTTTGGAACCTAATATATCCTTTCCCATACAATTCCTAACGCTCTGTTTACAGCAGAAATATCTGTAACATTATGAAGACCTATCAAATTTTTGAAAGTATTTCTGTCTTCAGAGGTAGTAAGGCAGGATTAAATTATTTTTATTAGAATAGACAAATAATGAATGGTATGCATGCACCTAATGGTTACTAGAGCTCAGGATCACAAAATATAGTAGCATTACAATCTGTGTATATTTTTGATCAAGATAATAATGGCCTTACTTGTGTTATTTTTTATTGTTTATCAAATCTTATATAGAATAGTATGGAAATACTCCTTTTAAAAATTTCTAAGGAAAATATTTCTCCCAATCTAACATAATTGCAGAATGGATATAGGTTTCTGAAAGGTTTTTGAAAGAAAGCAAAAGTTCTTGAATTAAAAGTAAGCTGGTGTTTAATACCCCATTGATACTTAGAACAGATTATTACTAAGAAATGGAGGAAAGATCTAGTTTTTATCCACTAGTTTGCTTTCAGTCCAGTTACGTATACTTTTTTCATTAAGAATGTGACATATAAGTATGAATCAGATTAGCTTGTTTCTTTTAAACATATACAAACATACATATTTTTTCCTTCCTTTTGTTGTACATATCTCCATGCATTTTAAAACTTTCTAAATTTCTGAATGGCCTATGTGTAAATTTTTGTTTTTATAAGCGTGAAATTATACAAGTTTTAATGTGTGTCAAGAACTTGTTCCATACAACTGTGGTATCTAGCAATAATGTGAATAACTTTTGAAATTATATAAACTATGCTTACTAATTTGTATTGAGAATTGGTACCACTATACAATATCTTTTCTCCTTGTATTAAATCTTTTAAATACCAGTTTCATTAATTTATATACCTGTATTTTTTAAAAGTATTACTCTGTACTTCTCCAAAGTACTGTAATTCTATATTAATTTGAATAGTTGGATTCTAGTATCTTTAATCCTATATCCTATTTTGGACATGAGGAACTATCTTTAAAACTAGGGTTTTGGTTTTTTTTTTCCGCCTGAGAATTATTTCCATTGCCCCCCAAAACACTTAACAATTTGAATTTATAGACCACTTTTCCTCGGAAGAGCTGAAAGTGCAGATAATTCAAACCTTTCTCACTTTATTGACCTGGTGTCCAGGGTGTGTCCTACCACCTTAAAATAGTGGAAATTAAGGTAATGCTATTACAAAAACTAGTATTCCTATATGGTTTCAGTGTGAAAAATTACTGTCTGGAGAAGGCTAAATCTGCCCCAGGATTCAGAGAGACCAGGAAAATATAAATGTGTAGACTCTGTAACACAGCGTTCTATATCTAAAATTCTGTAAATTTGTAGAGTACCGTATTGATCAGCTTTATAGGAAGAACTGTACCTATTTAGACTATTTTCTCCTGTTACTAGTCTTCTGAAAATTTTAATTTAAAAATTATTCCCATAAGACTATTTTAACGTTAAGATAATTTTCACAGTTGATAGTATTTAGATATAGGAATCCTTTTAAAGCTTTTCTGATTTTGAGAGGTATGTCAGTTACTTTAAGTTTCCTTAGAAATGTGCGCTCTTGCATTTCTGATGTGTATATAGAAAAGAACCATGAATGCGTAATATGTAACATTACGATTAGCCAGTTACGCCTTGAGCAGTTAGAGTTCCATGTTTGGGCTTTTATTAGTAGCCCCCAGTAAGCCCTCTGGCTTATTCTTTCTTGATTCATGAATCTAAGTGCCCATGTTACTGGAAATTAGAAATGTCAGAGATGCCTATGTTGTGTGAACATTAGGAAACATATCCAAAGGAAATATTTAAAATGATAACTGTTCTTCAGTTCCTGTTTTTTGACTTAAAATTTGTGAGACATTAACCATAGGTACTTTTAAAACTGGCCAAGAAAAGATACTATTAGCAGAAAATCTAGTGTATAGATACATAGGCTAATTGAATAACTTATGATCTTCGTTTATATATTACAGGCTTTTTATAGGTAGTCCATCATTCTTGTGTAGAAACATTTACTTTTCAAAGCCTATTATATTTTAACACACTGTTATTATATAGCTGAGTTAAAATACATACATACTCTACCTAAAGACTATAAGTAAAATTCAAGTGACACGTTTAGCTTCTAAGGCAGATACTGGCCCTGCTCACAAGGGGGTCACCTTACCCTACATAAAATGGTCCTCAGATGCTTTATTAAGACTGTTTAATGACTAGGTTCCATTCATTTGAAATACAAACATGTAATTTTGGCCTAAAATCAAGAAGTGTTCAAACCTTTAATAGTAAGCAATAATTTCCTTTTTGTACTAGAAAAACTACTTTTATAATTGAGTAATTTTATATCGGGAAGAACTACAATTTTCTCCATGGCTGTGTTTTCAGGGTTCTTTGTAGACAACCTCTGATTGCATCTTTGTATTAGTAGACACGGGCAAACTGTATAAAACTTGGACAACATTCCGTACCAATCTTGGGTTATGAAAGAATGATAGTCATAGTAACACGTACCGCTGGGTCTACAGTTGCATGTGTCCAGACCACAGTAGTCTTACATAACGTTATGTACATAGACTGTTTTAACTCTTATGGTATTCTGCTTCACAGTTACAACATTTAGCTGCATGCCTGATTTTCATTGTAAATACTTGCTTTAGCTCAAGTATCAGTTAGTAGTACTAAATCAGAAGTACAATCTGTTCAAAACTGTTTTTGACTGAATTCCAACATCTAGTCCTGGACTCTCTTTCCTTCACTTATCCTGCGGAAGCAGTGTGGGTGCTTTTGCTGCCCTCCTGACGTATAGAGTCTTCATCTATATGCGGACATAGTTCACCACTGCCTTTTGTTTTCCTTCCCTAGAGCTCGCAGTACAAATGGTCCATTCTTTTGTATTCTTAGCTAGGTGTTTAGAAGGCCAATGAAAGTGAGTTAGTCATATTAAATGATTAATGGGTGACACTCTCAATTCTGCTAAGGCGGTACTTGGATTTCAAAAATTTCTTAACTTAAATTTGCCGTGGGAGCCATGGAGCAATCAGTACTTTCCTTTTCAACAGACCTTATCCGTGCAGACTTTGCAGGGAAAGAATAATAGGATGCTTGCATGTGGGGCTTCCCAAACCACCATTTCTGAAGAAAATTGATCTGTATCTCGTATGATGGCAGAAAGAATAGGCTGAAGACCAATCCTAAACCAAACTGTTAATTATCCCATAATAGTTGTATAGTTGTGTTTAGTATACTTTTAGATATAATAGCCAGCTTTATGTTATTTTTAGGAACATGCCTTTTATATAAGTTGAGTTGTGAAGGTGATTTGTCTTTAAAACTTGAGTTATTATCTTGTTCCGTTCTCCTACAGAGATTTTTAAGTAGTAATGTAAGAGAAGCCTAAGTATTGTTTAAATTATTAGTCATAATTCTGTGTACTAGGGAGCGATATTCCCCTTCCTCCCACAGTGGCAAGTTGAAACAACAGAGGTTGTTTGTAGCCTTAATAGACAATACTGAAAATAGAAATTCAGAATGCTAATCCTGATTCTGAAGTTATTTCTGCTGTTCTGCAAAATCATCAAATTACATGGCTTCTTTGCGTTTATCTTTTTCCACAAAAGGAAGATACTATGACTACCTCATATTTTTTAATCATTTTTTTGCTGTTATTTACTAAGTCCTATATAAAAGTAGACATGAATGAGTAGCCTTTTTGACTTATTTACAGAGTCAGCAGAAACCTTAGTTACTGTTAAATTTTGCATTTAAAATTAGAGTACTCCCTATATATATTTATAGTAATGACTTGCATGTTTAAAAATCACAGACTTTAAATATAATACTTGAGAAGAGTTTCTTTCTAGTAAGACTCTTTAAGATATAGTTACCTTTCAGATACTTAAGCAAAATCATGCCCCCACCCTTTAAGTAACATCTCTACTTCATAAACATGGTGCTCTGAATTTAAGAGTTGACTGCTTTTTTCTCTTTATGAAAGATAGATAGTATATCGCTTTCTCAGCTTTATCTCAGAAATTTTTCAGTGTTCTAACCATACCAGGCATCCTTGATTTTGTCAAATAGGTAAAAATTGTATGTATTTATTTTCAAAGAAAGTCATTCAGCCTTTAAGAGAATCCAAGTAACAGATCAGTCTTTTGGCTACTCTGTTAGACCGTACATAACCATACGTAATACATTCTCAAGCTGCAGATTTCCTGTTATCTCTCCTGCTGGTTCGTTATTTAGTAAAACTGGTTCTAGTTCTTTCTTGACATAAATACTGTATGGATTTAAAATGTTCTAGAGGAACGAATGAGTATTCTATTCCCTGAAGAAACCTTTTGCATTAATAAAAGACCACCTCCTCCTTTCTCTTCTAGTAGCAGTTCATTTAATTAGGTAATTACAATAAGCTCATTGCATTGCTATGAAGTCTTCATAAACAGGAGTTTGAAGTTATCAAAGCTCTTTTAAAGTCTCTATTTCTTTTTACATCTGTTGGAGCTAATGAATGACATTTTGTCCTCTCAGAAGAGTTAAGCATTGTGAAGCTGGAGTAGAAGCAAGGTAGACATTGGAAAGCGGTATGCTGAAATCTTCTGGCTGAGAGAAATAACTACATTGTTATCTTACGCTTTGGTTTACAAGAGGCAAAATTATGCAATGGTGGGGAATTGCACAGAGCTTTATGCTTCCTTTTATATATTCTTTATGTATTATAATGGAACTTTTTTTTTTTTTTAAAGAAAAAGTATTGTTCTAGATAGAGTTTTTCTCT